CACCGTACACCACTCTAGCCTTCACCGTACACCACTCTAGCCTTCACCGTACACCACTCTAGCCTTCACCGTACACCACTCTAGCCTTCACAGTACACCGCTCTAGCCTTCACTGTACACCGCTCTAGCCTTCACTGTACACCGCTCTAGCCTTCACGCCTTCACTGTACACCGCTCTAGCCTTCACTGTACACCACTCTAGCCTTCACTGTACACCACTCTAGCCTTCACTGTACACCACTCTAGCCTTCACTGTTAAATAAGACACCTGCTTTCTACACCACTCTAGCTTTCACTGCTAAGGTAGACCACGCCCATCACCCGCAGCTGGTGCATACATTTTGTCAGCCCCCCCTCCTCCGGTAACCTGACCAGCTTGGAAGAACCTGCCAGGGCCCTAAGTCTCCGCTGGTACTGGTATAGTTCCCGGAATCCTAAGGATTTGCAAGCTTTCCCACCACGGCAAGGCAAGTATACAAGGGAAATTATCATCATCATTATCATCATCATCATCATCATCATCATCATCATCATCCTGTGCCAGATCTGCGACAGACATCGGCAACCACAATTCTCTATTCATTCTTTTGCTAGGATGCTCTTAAAAAAGCTGTTTTCCTGATCTTTCCCTGTTACCCATTTGTTTAGGTTCCCCAAGAAGGTTGCTCTCGGCCTACCCCTGCCTCCTTTGCCTTCAATTTTGGCAGTGAGAGCTAGATGTTCAAGACCCTTATGTCTATTCAGGTGTTCCAACATCAGCTTTTGTCGTTTCCTGATTGTTTTTAACAGTGAGTGTCCCACGTGGGCTTCATCAAACATTACCTCATTTGATTTCTTTTCCTTCCACGATACTCTTAGCAGTCTCCTAAGAAACCACATTTCTGTTGCTTCTAATTATAAAAGCCTCTCTATAACACCAACTTTTCTGTGAAGTTACTTAATGTTAAAGCCCTCAGACTCTACAGTGTTAAACTGTTCTTTTCAGATTTTACATTACTGCACCACCACAGTCTCAAAGAAATTCTCGCTGAATGCTAGTTATTCTAACACAGTAAAGAAAAATACCTGCTTCATCTGCAAACATTTGAGAAAAGCCTCTGGATCAAACTTTGGAAGGGTGACCAGTTTTGCACCCTGACTCAGAGTTCCGAACAAGACGACAGTCATTCCATAGATGTGACTGAATGGCAGCAGTCCGAGAGTGGGGTCTCCCCGGCCAATATGTTCTGCAGCACTGTCAGAGAGAGGAAAGTTTGATGAGTCCTTCCAGATGGGCCTTTCTATGTGACGGAAGACTCATTTCATCCACCAGCTGTTCCGTGGTACCAAGCCAAAAAATTTTGAAAGTTGAAAAAAATGCAGTTTCCTAATACAAGGGGGGGGTGTTCAATAAATCTTTGGTCTGGGTATGAAGGAATCATGGTAGAGTAATGAAACATGGCCAGCCTTTAGACAACTTCTTTGGAACACACCATGCAAATATATTTACAGTATAAGTCGTATTGATTGGAGGTGCACAAGAAAGACTTTGTGGAATTTTTAGATTCTGTGTGTTGAAAAAAAGCAAGAAAGAGATTCATAACGTAGGTAGGCCTACAGTTGTTAAAAGAATGAAACTCTTCTTCCTCTCTCATGAAACATTTTGCTTTTTGGATTTGGAACAGTTGAACAACTTACTGATGATGCATTTTTTAAAATCACAGTAATCTGTGCTGGGAAACACATATACTGCATCACAAGGCACTTACTCAATCTGGCAGATGTTGCTGACAATGTTGGAATGTGTGAGCATGACACCCTTCGGCAAGCCAGTGGTGCCGCTAGAGTACGGCAGGGCAAACACGTCATCTTTGAGGTTGAAGGTCACATCCGGCAAGGATCCACTTCCCTCGGAGATCAAGGAGGAGAAAGGACGGAAGCCAGGACTCTCGCCAAACACAAAGCGATCCTGTGAGGAGAGAGAAAAACGTAGGGTTAGATCATTACTCTGTAATTACATTCTATGAAAGAGAAAACGTAGGCTTAGAGTCATTACTCTGTAATTACATCCAGTGAGAGAGAAAACGTAGGCTGAGATCATTACTCTGTAATTGCATCCAGTGAGAGAGAAAACATACTTTAAGCCAGAGAAGGTGTTACAAAAATTGGGATACTTTTTTTTAAAAAGTTGCCATATGTGCAATGTTTGCTGTTAAAACTGCCTTCAGTGTAACTGAGTGTAATAGATAGGTAGGCCCTATTTGAAAGGATAGAACTATCATATTTCTCGGCAACCGAGAGGAATATTCTGTGAAGGTTGCTTTTCTTTCACACTGCTTTTTATTCTGTAAATGCATTGTAAGCAAGTCCATAAAACTATCAAGTCTTACAGTAAAACTTATTTCTGAACGTTGCCAACCCCACTGACTGACACTGTAAGAGAAGCTATACAGTCCGACAGAGGAACTGAGCAGGACAGCCCAATTTGATAGATACCGGACTTCAAGTGTGATGCGATCGAGAAGACTAATTTCTTTACACTGCTTTCTTTATACTGTGTCAAGGCTAGAGAAAGTGGCCAGGGACAGACAGGCTTGGTGTTAACTGCTCTATTCTCTTCTTTGTGCTCCTGAAGGTACAGGGCCGGAGAGTCCAGACCATCACTAGGACACCAGCATCATTGTCCATTTTTACCCTCTAGCTTATTTGTTTCAGTAAGCGTTTTACGGCACTTGCAATACAATAAGGTCATATAAGTGCCGAAGAATAGATGAGTTTCAAGAAAGTAACATACACAAAAAAGAAGGAGCAGAGATAAAGACGATAAATGTTTGATAGGAAAGAAGGAGCTAACCACACCAGAGCACCCACCAACCACGGACTTGCCTCTTGCTCAAAACTCAGAGTTTTACTGATGTAGAGCCTGCAGCAATACTTGACTGTTTGTGAACATTTTACACCCCCCCATGATACAATTAAAGTTATTTTAAAAAGGAAGGGTGTTTGACGATGCCTCTCAAGGTCAACCAGGTCTTCCCAATCCCATCAAAAAGACTCAACAAAATATCTTTACTGTCCTAGAATTGAAATCTTGCCTTCTTCACACAAGGCAAATAGCCAAAATGTTGTGACACAGTTGCAGGTGAGGCGATTAACTACGTCTTTACGTTTAAAGTGATACTTCTTCTATGCCTGAATATTTCCGTCTATCAAAATTCTGTCCATGATACTTTTAAGTAAAAAGTATGAATTTCTACTCCTATGTGTGAAGGTATTATGCAGCATTGACTCACTGGCTACCTGCCATATTGGTCTTTGATATACCCTGCGTATTTGCTAATTCAATGAGTTTTCTGAACAATCACTGTGACAAAACTAACAGACATAAAGTCACATACCTTTGCACACTTATTATGGACGTAATAAAGATTGCTAGACAACAAACAGAAAGTGATTTCCCTCTTTCATCTAGCTTTTAGAAAACAACAAAAACAGGTCTGGAAATTGCTGCAGGAACCATGGTTAGACTTCAAATTGGACCCCAGGAAAACAAACCAAATGTGAATTATGCAACTAAAGTGTTTGTTTCCTTTTGTTTGTAGCACAAAAAGAGAACACAAAAAGGACCAGTAATGGCAACAGTCTGTCCAACTGTCACAGTTTGTTACAGTCAGTGACTCTCCTTTGTGTGATAAACACAAAAACATTGTTCTATGCATGACGGCACTTGCTCTTTCGGTATGGAAGTGGTTATAATTTCTAAAAGCAGTACCCATGCCGCATATGCTGTGGTAATAACACGAAAAGACCCCCTGAACTAAAAAACCGCAGGGGTTGAAGCAAAGGTAGTCAGCGGAAACATGACTATGACCATTTTCATGGCACGGGAAACCAGTGAGAGTTAAGCATAGTACTCTAAAAAATAACTCACCTTAACACAACCTGTTTTGGCAGTGTCAGCTAATGCTGCTGTCGCCACTGGGGCCAGGACATCAGCTGTGAACACAGCCTTTGCTGCACTGTCCTCTATCTGTTTGGCCAGCTCATCTGGAAGGAAGGGGAGAATAGAGTCAGAGAGGAGCAACAACACAGGTGGAGGGGAAATGGTGATTTAACTGCAGGGGGGG